AGGATGGAGCTGAAAGGACAGGGGGCCTATTACCCTATGTGTGTGTGGGGGGAGGGCTGGGGGGAACACATAGAGCACCAGCCCTTCAAAGAGCAGGAGGCGGTTGGGCCCTAGGGCCAAAAGGCCTGGATTGGAAACTGTCACTGATCTTCCCGGCAACCTTGATCTCTTTAGTTTGCTCATTTGTAAAAGTGTGGGACCGTGGGGTAGTAGGGCTGTCCTAGATGGTTTACCAAGACCATTTGGCCTGCTGAGACTCCTAGGCCTGAGGATTTGATGCTTGCTGAGGTGGGTACCTCTGTTTGCCCAAGCCCTTCTGCATCCAGGCTCTGCTGTTTTCCCAGCTGTTCGAGAGGCATGGCTCCTGGGTAGCAGTGATTCTCCACCCCCTACTCTTAATCCCTGGGGACCACCTTCTGCTCCTCCATTATCACCTGGCATCACCTGACTTCACAAGGATGGGACCCTGGTGTCCCAGAGGCAGAAACCTCCTCAAATTCCCTCCCAGGCAGGAGGAGGAAGTTTTCAGGACAGATTCAGGGGTATGGATCATGGACCCTTGGGTAGGACATGTAGGTCGCCCCAGGGGTGGAACCCAGAGGATTCTCCATGTGCTTCCTATCTGTCCCCTGGGCCCGACTGAACTGCGGCCCTCTGCTCATGCCTCTGTGCTTCTCCTTCTAATGGCTCTGCCTCTTTGTCTCTCTGTGTCTCTTTTCCCTCTCCATCTCTGTCTCTACCCTCTCTGTCTGGCATTCCCTCCCTCTCTCAGCACCTGGACCAGGGTGAGGCAACAGGATCCCCTGCAACACAGCATTTAAGGAGGCAATCCAGCTTGGGTGCTGATCCTGCCCTGGCATGAGCTCTAGAGTGAGTGTGTCCATCCTGGGCATGGCACTGGCCCCACCCTGGCCCAGGCTCTGCTTTTCTCTCTGTCACCCATTCCCTCTTTTTGTCTCTCCGATGCCCCTCTTTGGCGAAGTGTTTGTTTCTCTCCTGCCATGTGGTCTTTGGTTTCTGCTCATCTCTACACAGCAGCAGCCTGATCTTGCTGCTTCTCTGGGCACAGGACTGAAGCTGGCTGCCCCCTGGTCCAGCAGATCTGATTTCAGATTTTCAGGAGGTGACTACAGCCCACCTTGGTCTGCCATTCACACCTCGTCCAGTCAGCTGTGGTCAGGGGCCCGAGTCCCCCTGCCCACAAGCAGAGCCCTGAGAACAGGCTCTCTGAGGAGGGACTCCTTAACATGAGGACCCTCTTGGCCCTGGGTCCCCTAGTCTGTCCCTCCAGTGTGACATGTGGCACAGAGGTACCCCTCCCTCACTTCTCACCCAGAACACAGACAGCTTTACCCTGGGCCTTCCTGGGAATCCGGGGAAAACAGAGCCCGCATCTCGTGGGTCTTTAAATGTATCTAGTGTCAAGCTGCCTCCTTCTTTAATATTCCTGTTCTTCCAGCTGTATCTGCAGAAAAAAAATCATCATGCCCCATTTTGGGGTTCCAGTTTTAGATGTCTGAACTGTGTGTGGTGAAAACACTGCTGGCTCACCCCCTCCCAGTCGAGTGCTTTAGAGACTCTGGCAAACATCAAGGAGCTGGGGCAGCAGCCTTGATGCTGTGGCGAGGGAAGGCCGGGAGGAGGCTGGTGGCGGTGGTGGCGGTGGCACGGGGGGTCTCCAGTGGGGCCCAGGCAGGGGCCACAGGCAGCCCTCAGGGATGAGAAAGCTGAAGGGCACTGCCCAGCACCCCTCTTATTTCCGGCAGGACCTCAGCAGCTGTTTTCCAAATTTCCTGGGGTGGCTTTTACATAGCAGCAGGAGAAGTTGGGGAAGATGCAGCACAGTGTCAATGGGGAAGATGTCGTAATGGGGCTTTGGGGCCATTTCTTGCCTTACTGGGAGATGTCAGCTGAGGTGGAACGTGGCTGCAGAAGCCTGGGGATGGGCGGGGAGGCTACAGGGTGGAGGTGGGGTGTGGAGCTTTAGCAGGGGGTTAGGCTGAAGCGCACAGCCTAGACTGTGTCAGGATTTGTGCAGACCTGCCATAGCCATCAGGAGTTTGCCCTTGATCGAGGCTCTGCCTGGTCAGTGTGCTTCTGGGGAGGACAGGACCCCGCCCCCAAGCTTTGCTGGCCTCTTGCAGACAGAAGAGGCCAGGCCTGGTGCAAAAGGCTCCTTATTAGCACCAGGGAAAAGCTTATGCAGGGGCAAACATAGGCAACACATCGTTTTTATAATTATAGAATCCAAGTCTGTGCCATCTTTCCCTGGAATCTTTTTTTTTTTTTTAAGATTTTATTTATTTATTTGACAGAGAGTGAGAGAGAACATGAGTAGAGGAAGGGGCAGAGGCATAACAGGCTCCCCCTGAGTGGGACTCGATCCTAGGACCTTGGGATCATGACCTGAGCTGAAAGCAGATGCTTAACTGACTGAGCCACCCAGGTCCCCCTCCCTGGAATCTTTTATTTCACTCATTCGACGCACATTTGCTGAGCCCCTGTGAAGTGCCATGTTCTGTCCAGGTGTTGGGGATGCTCAGGTCCCCCATCCTTCAGCCTAGCAGGGAAGACAGATGCCTACACAAACAGAGAACTATGATGGGATGTGACAGAGACTCTCACAGTGCAGTCCTCAAAGAGCTGTGGCAGCACAGTCAAAGCAGTTAATTCTATCTGGGGAGTCCAAATAGCCTTCCTGAGAGAGGTGACATTTGCTCTTGAAGGTTGAGTAAGAGTTTACCAAGGGGGAAAGGAAGGTCATCTCAGGAGGGCCCAGCTGGCTTGGAGAAGAGGAGACATTTGGAGACAGAGGGTGATGGCGGGAGGGATTTACGGGGCTGGACAGGGAGGCTGGAGCAGCCCCCTGATGCGGGCATCGGCCTGGCCCTCTTGAGCTCTTAAACTCCCAGCATTGAGCCTCTTTGTATCTGCTGCTGGAGCAGCTTCCCTTTGCCCCTGGCTCTGTGCAGGGCTGGGGTGGAGTGTGGGGTGTTGGGGGACAGAGGTTGTATCTCCCAGGAAGCAGCCACTCTGCCAGAACCCGGGCTTGCTCCAGGCCCTGTGAGCCCTGAAGTGCCCGGGTTGCACACATCACCTTGGCAGTTTGTGGGCAAACCCTCTGGGCCGAGGGGAGATTGCACTGCCAGCCACTTCCTCTAGTTCCTTCCCTCTGCCTGTCGTCACGGTTACCTTGGCCTTGTTGGGGGTGAGGTTGAGGTTGGGTGGAATCAATTTTGTCCAGGTTTCTATTTTCCCAGATGCAGGTCAGCCAGAGGAGCTGTCACTTCTGGTTCTGTTTCAAGGGAGGCCAAGGGCCTGGGAGGTGCTTGGGTGTGGCGGTGTTGACAAGGTGCCTCTCCAGCCAGCCTCCCAGGAGGGGTGGGAGCGGGGCAGGGAGAAGCTCAGAGGTGGTGGAGGAGACAGGGCTGCCTTACCAATAGGCCTGTGCTCATGGCCGTGGGTGCTTGGTCTCTGGCCAGGCTCTGGGTCCTAAGCTCCTAGAGCATGCTGGGAGTGCACGGAGAGAGGCTGTTTATTTTCCTGGCCTAGAGCCCTTTTCAGCTGAGACCTTGTTCCAGGCCTCAGGCTGCCAGATTCACCCCCACTGGCTCAAGAAGTGAGAGAGTTGGCAAACCCAGAGCAATCCAACGACTTCACTAGTGGCCTCTGACTCTGGGCTGTCCCTAGCCCAGCTGGCCCTGTGTGTCCTCTAGATCCTCCTGGTAGCTCACAGACAGCCAGAGGCACCACATCGAAGTGATCCTGATGGGTCAGGGCTGTGAGGGCTGGTGGTCAGTCAAGAGCAGGAAGATTGAAGTCTGAGAAATCCGTGTTGGAATCCCAGCTGTGTCATTTCTTAGTTTGGGTAGCCTTGGGCAGATGGAATCCTGCAGCTCAGTCCCACCAACTGTCGAATGGGACAGTAATAGTACCGTCCTCATTGATTGTGAGGGTAATGTGACCTGTGTGGAAAGCATTTAACAAATAGGCATGAAACAATAAAATGTGGAAAGCATTTAACAGATGTGATAAATAAAATAAATAATAAAATGTGATTTAAAAATAAATCACTGAGGGACACCTGGGGTGACTTAGCGGTTGAGCATCTGCGTTTGGCTCAGGGCATGATCCTGGGCTCCTGGGATCGAGTCCCGCATCGGGCACCCCGCATGGAGCCTGCTTCTCCCTCTGCCTGTGTCTCTGCCTCTCTCTCAGTGTGTCTCTCATGAATACATAAATAAAATCTTAAAAAAAAAATCACAGAAAGTCAGGGTTGGTGGGCAGTGAGTTTCCTCCTTCCTGTTTAATGGTCCCTGCCTTTTGCATGGTGAATTTTCTAATGTGTCCTGGGGGAGAAGCAAGCAAACCTGGAGACTCAGGGAGCCCCTCTGCCTGTGTCCCGCACAGGGCACTCCCGGGATCTTTGGATACAGGGGGGTGTCATGGGGACAGAGCCTAAAGTGCAGAAGCAGGGAAAACAATCAAAGCCGGCTGAGGAGGCCTGGGAAGGTGGTTTAGGAGCACCAGGAGGTAGATCGGAGCCTCCGGGAGGACCAAGAGGGAGGCTCCCCCCGGGGAGGTGGAAGTGCGTGGGGGTAGCATGTGAAACCTGTGCCCATGCCCAAGGCATTTTTAAAGGAAGTGCCTGGGAACCGCTGGCCTGGAAAATAGTGCCCAGAAGGCTTGGGCTGGGCAAGAGAACAGACCGTCACCGCCCACTGGGTGTCACCTCCGTGTGAGTGGCCTTGCCAGGCTCCGAGCCTCCTGAACTCTGGCAGAACCCTCCAGAGGCCTGCCCTCCGGGCCACTGGCCCGCCCGGCCTTGCCCACCTGCTCCGAGAGGACCGGGGCGGCCGGGGCGCTCCAGCCACCAGCCGGGCGGGCGCTCACTGCCGCCACGTGGGTGCGGACGGGGATTGTCCACCTGTCCGTGTCGGGAGGGAAGCCGTCCTCCAGGCCCGCCTCCATGTCTGACCGGTGGCTCTCTGCCCTCACAGCTAGACGAGGAAGAGGAGCGGAGGAAAAGGCGCCGGGAGAAGAACAAAGTGGCGGCGGCTCGATGCCGGAACAAGAAGAAGGAGCGGACGGAGTTTCTGCAGCGGGTGAGCGGGCGGGCGGGCGGGGCGCCCATCTCGTTCTGCAGAGCGGCCGTGGCACCTGTGGGCCCGCAGATGTCACCGAAGCCTGCGGAATGGAATGGACGGGCACCTGCTGGCATCTGCCCAAGCGGCCGCCACCCCTCGGTTCCTCCCTGCCTCCCACCCACTGCCCTTTCCCCCACCCAAGGGCAGCCTGGCCTCAGGTCCCACCCACCCAGGTCCCCCGAAGGCCAGAGGAGGTGGGAGGAGCCAAGTCCCCTCTACTAGGCCACACCCTGGTGCTGATTGACCCTTGTGGCCGCGGACTGCTACTACTCATTTCAAAACCCTGGTGGCTGCCAGAGTTGTCTAGGGTGGATGCTAATGACCTAGGTGACAACTGCCAAGTGTGTGCGGTGGATGCAGCACCTGGCAAGAGAGAAGCTCCTCCCTTCGCTGCAGGGGGCTCTTCCAACCCTGCATCCCCTCTGGCTGGCCTCAGCCCTGCTGGAGGGGGCCCCCAAGCCTCTGCCCCCAGGGAGCAGAGGTCAGCTCTGTGAAGGCCAGCAGAAGGGGTCGCCTTCCCCTCCCTCCCCCTCCTGGCCCTCAGAGCGGGTCTCTGCCCTTTCATGTGGACTGTGCCAAGCAGTCCCCCCAGCCCCCCTAGAGTCCCATCTCTTAGGCCTTCGCTGCTTCTCAACAATGATAGACAGCAGTGAAGGGACATGACCAGGAAAGCTTATCAGTCCAGGTTGGTAGTCTCTGGCCTCTCCACTCTGGATCACTTGTTCATTACTAAAGAATAATAGTAACAATAACAATCCATGGGTCTGGCTCTGTTCTATAGCATGCAACAAGTAACCGTGGTTGCTAACATTTGTAAGGTTGGGAGGTGTGCAGAATACTGTAAATATATTATCTCTTTATAGGCATAACAACTGTATGAGGTTATTGCCTTCCTACAGATGGGGAAACTAAGGCATGGTGAGGTTAAGTTACTTGCCCAGGTCCCTCAGCAACTAAGTGGTAGAACTGGGATTCAAGCCTGAGGCTAACTTAAAAGCATTTGTTCTTAATACTCTGCTATGCTAGCTCTAATTCATTTCTTCATTTGTTCATTCTTTCACTCTTTTGTTGATTCATTGGCAAGCATTTTTATACACGTGCTAAATGCCCAGCACTGTGCCAGGTGTACTGAGGGACACACAGGAAGGAGCAGACATAGACCGTCCCACGGGAGCTGGAGAAACAAGGCTGATGTGGCCTCTGGTTTCTCTAATGCTGGGGAATATATGGGTCTCTTCTCACACTCTCAACAAGTAGAGAGAAAATCCGAGGTCACAGGTGTAGACAGTGTGGGGCCGTGTGTACACCAGCAAGTTCTGAGCATCTGGGGTAGGTGAATGGCCATTACAGGTGAGAGTTAGACTCCAAGAGCTGGGAGCTTCCTTGGAAGAGTTGGGGGATCAACACTGGGATGGAAGTTTTCAAAAAGTTTCTAAGATACAGGTCTGACACGGGCCTTTAACGTGGTTGGAGTGTCCCGCACCTCATTTCCAGCCCTGAACACCTGCAGAGCCAAGTAAGGCATTCGAGTGAGATAAACATTAGTTATCCCCATTGTAGGAATTGACCTCTAGTTCAGAAGAGGTCAAGTTATTTGCCCAAAGTCACACTGCTAGCAAGTGTTAGACCTGGGATTCATTTATTCCTTTGCTTATCCATCCATCCATCCATCCATCCATCCATCCATTCATCCAACCAATCAGTGTATTGTGAGTACCTGCTATTGCACAGCAGACAAGCAAGTGATGTCTGCATAGGATGGCAGAGAGAAGTGGGGAGTGGTAATGTGTGCTGCGAGTTGTGTTGGGCCAGCCTGGCGGGCTGTGAGAACACACCATGAGGCCCTATCTTAGTCTAGGCTGAGGAGAGACTGCTTACTGAGCCACAGAAGAGGAGTAGGAGCTAACGAGATGAAGGACAGGGATGTGGGGGGTTAGCAGGAACAGTGCAAGCAAAGGCCAGAGGCAAGAGGTGTTTAAGGATGTGATTAAGAAATTGAGAAGAATGTCAGTGTGGCTGGAATTTAGAGTACCATGGGGAGAGCGGAGGGGCAGGCAGCCCCCCTGGTCCTTGCTAGGTCTGTGCTGCGATGTCTGGGGCAATCCTCCTTTATGCCTCTGGTCCTGGCCTACTTACTATCACATACTTACACATCACTTGTTTTACTCTCACAAATGTCTCCATCGTAATGATGAATTATGTAGTCATGGAGAGTGATGGAACGCTTCAGTTGGAGGGAGACACACCTTGGAAAGATCCTCCTGGCTGCAGTGTGTGGCAAGGATTGGGGCAGTGGGAAGACCAGTTATATGACTGGGGTGGTGTCCTTGGAGGCTCGGGGTCTAGGAGGGGGGTTTGGGCAGTTCCATCCCAGTCCTCCTCTTCTCCCATGCTCCTCTCTTAGAAACACAGTTGGGCGTGAGGTTTAGGACACAGATGCAGATGGCTGTGTTGATGGCCAGTGCCCACAGACCTGAAGAATTCTCTTATAATTCAGTCATTTATTATTTTTTTAAGATTTATGTATTATTGGAGAGAGAGAGAGAGAGAGAGAGAGAGAGAGAGAGAGAGAGAAGGGGCAGAGGAAGAGAATCCCAAGCAAACTCCCCACTGAGCATGGAGCCTGCCATGGGGCTTGATCTCATAACCCTAAGATCATGACCTGAGCTGAAATCAAGTCAGACGCTTTACTGACTGAGCCATCCAGGTGACTCTTGTACTCTATTTTTTACCAGATAAAATATTTATAAGGCTCAGAGGTACAAAAGGATATGTGTGTACACACACCCACACACGTATGTATAATGTAGAAAGTCACCCACCCATCCTTGACCCCTGGTGCCTAGATCCACTCTGGGAGATTCTTAGAGCCTCTCAGAGTTCGCCTGCCTGGACCAGCTGAGTTCCTGAGGCAACCAGGGTGACCTCAGTACCTCCTGTGTCCACAATTACATGTAGCAGCCCCTGCACTTCTCCCTTCTGTAACCCTGGCCTCTGTAACTGCTGCGCCTAACGCAGGTTCATTCCCTGGGCTTTGTTAGCAGTAACCCCATCTCATACTCCCATGGTGCACTGCACTCTTCATGGCCATTCTCTCCTTGATGGCCACAAGAAGAAGGTGGCTCTGGGAGGAGATGAGGCAATGCCCACTCCGCTAATGAGGATTCTGAGACTCAGAGGGATGAAAGTTTGCTCAAGGCCCTACAGCAGCTGAGGTGGGACTCGAACCCAGGGCTTCCTTTGTTGCCCAGCATGCTGTTCAGGTTGCCCCGGCTCAGGGAAATTGGGGATATGGTTCACAGTGACATAGCTAAAGTGGCAGAGTCAGGATTTTAATTCAGACAGGTCTTTTGGACTCAGAAGAGGCCACACCAGCCTTCTACCCAATACTTACCAAAAAAGTTGGGAAATAGAACTCTATTTTAAGTGCATTTAGGGTTACTTGTTTTTAAAAGATAAAATCAGGGATGCCTGGGTGGCTCAGTGGTTGAGCGTCTGCCTTTGGCCCAAGGTGTGATCCTGGAGTCCCGGGATCAAGTCCCACATCTGGCTCCCTGCATGGAGCCTGCTTCTCCCTCTGCCTGTGTCTCTGCCTCTCTCTGTGTGTCTTTCATGAATAAATAAATTTGAAAAATCTTTAAAAAAAAAAAAGATAAAATCAGAGAATCTTAATGCTTAAAGTCCCCTGGGCCAATCATTATATTTTCTGGGAGGGGACTGAAGCCCCGAGAAGAGAATTGACTTGGCCAAGGTCACACAGCCAGTATGAAAAGCCAGAACATGCAGCCCCTTTGTATTTTTTCTCCTGCCTTTGCTGAGCACAGTGAAAGAGACAGAATGTTCATTCACTTGCACTAATTCTATTCTAGAACGACAAATGGAGGCAGCTGGTGGCTTAGCTGGTTAAGCATCTGCCTTCAGCTCATGTCATGATCTCAGGGACCTGGGATTGAGTCCCACATGGGGCTCCCCGCTGGGCAGGAAGTCTGCTTCTCCCTCTCCCTCTGCTGCTCCTCCCTGCTTGTGCTCTCTTATTCTCTCTCTCTCCCTCAAATAAATAAAATTTTTAGAATGAAACAATAACAACAACAAATGGTTTCATTTTCTCCAGGGCAATAAATATCTACCAGAAGACAAAATAATAAGCAAAAATGCAAGCAGAGTTATTGACTTCTGTGATTAACATGTATCTTGATTAGGGAAACAGATCAGGTAATTGCTGCTACAAAACCACAGACAACTTCTACGATCATGGTTAAAAAAAAAGAAAAAGATTCTTCGGAACTCAACTTCTACTTATGCAATTAATAAAGATGTAGCACCACCCAAGAAAACAGAAGGAAATAAAAGTAAAAAGCAGTCACATTCTGACAGCCAGCTGGGCAGAATTTAGGGTATTCCATGATATGCTCTAACCTTTTAAAACCAACAGAATGCAGTGCCATTCTGCTGAATGGTGACTGTATGTGTGAAGCCACATGCCTACTTGGGTCTCTGTGTGATACGGATGTTCGTACGTGAAGTTGGTTGGACACACAGTCATTTCGAGGCAGTAGATTGGTGTGTAGTACTGAATGCCATGTGCCTGGACGCTGGCCCTTGCATTGGCACCTTTAACGCCCACTTATGTGCCACCCAACTGCTTCCTTGCCATCCCCCAAACAGTAGCCCCCTTGGGCCCTTCCCCTCGGGCCCACAGGCAACCTCTTTCATTCTCCAGATGGAGCCAGTCACCAGGATCTGCCAGGTGTCTTTGAACCATCCTCCTCTGCTGCTTCTCCTTCTCTTTCTCCATGGGCCCTTGCTCAAAGCTTAAAGTATCCATTCCTTAAGCCTCCCTAAGCCTTCAGTTTATAAGGTGCCTTTCCCATGTGAGTTCACTTAATCCCCGCGAGCATCATCATTTTATATTTAAGATAGCTGAGACTCCGTGTAGTTAAGGAACTTACTCCTGACTCTGGTTCCAAACCCTAAAGTTTTGCCTAATGTGGCTCTAACTCCACCTTCCTGGCTCTCTACCTTCTGTCCTAAAGTGACCTATGGTCACAATGGAGGATTTCTTCTCCTAAACACATCTGTAGCTTATTTCCCATGTCTGTGTCCTTGTCCACTCAGGGCCGCCTTCCTCATGTCCCACCCCCTCCACTGGAGAGGCCAACTGGCCTTCTCAACCCAACCATTTTTTTTTTAAGATTTTATTTATTTGTTTATTCATGAGAGACACACAGAGAGAGAGAGAGGCAGAGACACAGGCAGAGGGAGAAGCAGGCCCCATGCACCGGGAGCCCGACGTGGGATTCGATCCCGGGTCTCCAGGATCGCGCCCTGGGCCAAAGGCAGGCGCCAAACCGCTGCGCCACCCAGGGATCCCTCAACCCAACCATTTTTTAAACTTGAGGCCAGACCTAGCCATTTAGGCCTCTTGGAAGGTCTTCCAGTCCCTGCAGTGCTGATGGGCACATAGTAAGTTCTTTCCCGCTGTATGGATCCTGATTCCCCCAGACATTCGTTGTACACGAATGTCCTCAAGCAAATGCAAATGGGTGGATTGAACAGAAACTCCTAGAGACAGGGTCAGAGGATTTGAACTTGGAGTTAAAATGTTGGCTCAGGGGAACCAGATAGTCAGAGGGTTTGTGAGGAGTCCCCAAGGTCATGAGTTCATCAGACCCGGTGAGCAGGCAGCTAAGATTAGCACCCAACTGGCTCAGACTGATCGGTCATGGACCCATGGTTTCACGTGGGTCTCTCTCCTGGCCTTCAGAGATGACTTCACCTGGAATTCTGAGAGCAGGGGACAGGGCCAGCCTCCCCCTCTGGCTTCATCCTGTTGAACCAGAAACAACCATAGCTGTTTTTTAATATTTTTCCCTTGAGCATTTTTTTCCTTTTTTCGAGGCTGTTCTCCTGCAGTGTTTGGTCACGAGGACTGCACGTGTCAGCAGTCCAGTTCCCTGGGCCACTCATCCTGTGTCCTCAGAGATGAGCACAAGGCAGGCCAGTGGGTGGGAGAAAGAATAGCAGCCCTGGGATGTGTGTGGGCCCCACTGAGGGCCCTGAAGACCACCAAAGGAGGCTACTCGGCCTGGCCCTGACAGGTGGAGGGCAAGCCCCTAGACCCAAGCCAGGGTTCCCCAGCTCAGTTGTGGAACATGCAATCATAACCACAGCTTGTCCTTTGCCTGATACAGGTTGCTCAACTTCAGCTGTTGACATTTTGTCTAGATAGTTCTTATTGTGGGGCCATCCTGTGCGGGATGTTTATGAGCATCTCTAGCCTCTACCCACTACCCCTAGCCTCTACCCACTAACTGCGGGTAGCAACCTTCTCCCCAGGTGCAACAACCAAAAATGTCTCCAGACATTGTCAAACGTCTTCTAGTAGGCCAAATCGCTCCGGGTTGAGCACCACTGGGCTAAAACTTTGCTGGCTCTTGAGTAAATTTCAACCCTTGAGCTGCTTGCCAGTTTTCAGACACAGTCCAATAAAAATCATTCAGGAGCCTTCCTGTCTTACTGTTTTGACCCCAAGCCTTGAACTGGTGTGCCCATCACCTATCCACACTCTGGACATGCGAACTCCCCCTGAAATCAAATAGCCAGCATTGCTTCTTTCCCTTGGAGTCTCTCCCACTGAGCTGGAAGTTCATTGGGAATCTCACTTGAGATTTGAAACTTTATTTTAGATCCAGAAGGATGACAGTTGATTGCCCCCCAATGGGCAAAGCTTCTAGATAACAGGGGATAAAGAGGAGGGTGTTTAATAATTTGGGGCTAATAACCAGGCAGCACGTGTTTTAGGAAGAATGACATGATTACCCTGGGCGCGTGATCCCACAGGCCAATATCCCCAATGTACAATGACACATCACACATCAAAGCACTTTGCCACTGCACTGCCAGCTGTGGGTCACGTGTGACCCCCTCTGGACCCTTCATGCACCTGCTCTAGTGCCACTGGGCCACTATTCTTCTCCCACCCTTTGTTTCTTTGGGCCAGGGCCAGGAGGCAGGAGAGTATTGGCATATTTGAGCAATTACAAGGAAGTCACTGTGGCTGGAGTAGATTGAGCGAGGGGAGGGAAGGGGGACCTGAGACAGGCTGGCCCCAGAATATAGCCTGGTTCATCCCGCTTTGACACAGGCCAGTGTCACAGGAGTGACGGGCACGGCTGCAGAAAGTCAATTACCCCAGGGGCTCAATAGCAGGTTCTGTGCTTTCTCCAGTGGGAGCCTGGCAGGCAGAAAACAGGCGGACGCCCGATGGGCGTGCCTGGTAGCTCCCCAGAGGCAGAGCTGGTCCCCAGTGAGCGCTTACAGCCCTGTCTCTGTTTCCATGCACCAGGAATCTGAGCGGCTGGAACTCATGAACGCGGAGCTGAAGACCCAGATCGAGGAGCTGAAGCAGGAGCGGCAGCAGCTCATTCTGATGCTGAACCGGCATCGCCCCACCTGCATCGTCCGGACGGACAGCGTCAAGACCCCCGAGTCCGAAGGCAACCCGCTGTTGGAGCAGCTAGAGAAGAAGTGACCATGGGCTGGGCGAAGGAAGAGGAGGAAGAGGAGGAGGAGGAGGAGGATTTGGGAAGAGGGTAGAGGATGAGGGGTCCCAGAGGGCCCTTCCTCGCTGCATGACAAACTTGACAAGGAGGCTCAGCACAGCCAGCGCTGGCCGGGCCTTTTTTGTGAAACTCAGATCAGCCACACGAGGGGAAGAACGGCTGAGGGTACTAGAAGGACCAAGCGCTGAGACCAAAGCAGACCCTCCGGCGGGGCTGGCCTGCTGGGGCCCAGCTCGAAGGAGGCAGCACAGAGACCGGCTGAGAGACACCCCAACCCAATGGCCTCGGGCACTTCCCGGCCCCCCCCACCGGGCCCACTGAGGGACCTCGGAGCAGCCAGGAAAAGCCATGAGTTGCAAACAAAACGCGGCTGGGGACGAACTCCGAGTCCAACTGCAGCCTGCCGGCCCCCAGCCCTGCCTGCCGACCCTGAAGCCGGGCTGGACGGGGTGCCATGTGGGGCCCTGCCGTCCCCGCCCCGTGGGCCCAGCGTGGGGGGGTCCCCCGGGAGCGGCAGCTGGGGCGCACCCTCGCCCGCCCTGCTGGAGTTTGCTGTGGGCACGAGGCGCGGGCGCCCTTCCAAAGCACATACTCACCGAATGTTTACAGACTGGCTGTCCTGGCAGGGCTTTCAACTGCACATGTTTTTTATACTTTCTTTTTTTTTTAATATTTTTTACAAAAAAAAAGATTTTATACAAGCAATATATATATGGATTTCTATAATCACTCGATGTGATATAGTATAAATATGCTATGGTTTGTTTGTTACGAACAGATATCCAGCAGTTATGGCCATTGTGTGTAACTCCTAAGTACTGTAGTAGTCTCTGGGTGTTGGGGGTGGCCGGGGCGGGCATGGGGTGCATTTCCATCCTGGTAAACCCTTCCTAGTACTCAGTCCTGTATCGCTCAGTAAACGTTACTCTTACTTACTCGGCTGCCTCTTGTGGTGTCTGCCTAGGGAATGGGGTGCAAGGCACGCCCGGTGGGCTTCCCAGTTGCGGTGTCAGAGGATGTTTGGAGCGTCTGCTGTAGGCCCTGGGTTTTCACAACAGCCCTCCCAGGTAAGTGTTTATATGCCCATTTTACAGATGAGGAAGTCGAGGTTCAGAGAAGTTAAAGAAATCTGTGGTACTTCCTTTGTTCACTCCACGAGTGTACTGAGTGCCTGCCCTGTGTGTGCCAGGCAATCTACAAGGGGCCGAGTCGTCACCATAAAATGATAATTATCTTGCTCTCTGCTAGTGTGGATAGTTGTTGATATTTACTGCATAGTGCAAATGATTTAATATCTTTTATTCTCTAAAGGTGGCTGCAGAGTTTGTGTCCTGGCCACATACCCAGTTCCTATAGTGACAAATGCTGGGATCCAGGATTCCCGGGTTCATTGGGCTCCTGCATGGCCACAGTCATCTGTGTTGGGCTCACCATTCCCCTCCTCGGGCCTCTCTAGGATTTCCTGCCAGGTGGTCCCAAGTAAGGCCTGTGCCCAGAGTTGCTCTGAGAATCAACTGTGCAACCCATAAGAAGGACAAGACCCATTAGCAATCAGATGGGCATAAACTAGTATGTGTTGGTTGGGATACGAATTAAAGGGAACTTACATATGCCAGGAGTGGGAAATCTGTGTGACTCCTGTGCAAAGCAATTTAGCAATAACCAGTGATGCTAAAGCTAAACACATCCTTTGACCTAGCAATTTCCCTCTGAAGTATATACCCTGGAGGAACTCCAGCACAGGGGCCCAAGGAAATGGACAAGACTTCCACTGAAGCTTTGTTTATAATAAAGAGAAACTGAAAACAACCTAAATACCTATGAACAGAAGAGCAGATAAACCGTATTTTTATAAAATCAAATATTATGCAGCAGTTAAAAAGAATGAACCAGAGCTACAGGTATCGATGTGAATAAATCTCAGGAACACAGTGTTGAGCTGGAGGAGAGGACAGCAAGTTGCAGTGTACCATTTATGTAATCTTTCTGGACATGTAAACTGATATTTTGCTGTTTGCGGGTACACACAGAACTGGATAGTAGAGGTGCAAAGGCATGCACAGGACTGCTATCAAAATCAGATATCAAAATCAGTGATGGGGAATGCTCCTGGGGAGGGGGGGCAGCATCTACAAGGCCAAGAAGGACACTGGGTTTCAACTGTACCTGTAATATTTCATTTACTTTAAAGAATCTGAATCAAATGTAGAACAATGTTAGAATTTGTCAGAGGTGAGTGATACTCTTCACATTCTTCTGTATGCTTGGTATATTTCATAATAAAAAAGAACAAGCCACAGCACAAATAGGTTTTGTTTTTCCATTCTTTCCTTAGCAAACTCAGGAAATAAAAACAAAATCCGAAGTTACAATGGAGTTCCAGCATATGCTCCTTGAATTGATGCAAATTTCGTTAAGTGTCTAGGAAAGAGAGAGAGAGAGAGAGAGAGAGAGAGAGAGAGATACAATTCCAAGGGTGTAATTTGTTTCCCTGGCCCTTGTAGTCGGTAAGCCCAAGCCCTGGGGTGAGGGTGTCCAGGGAAGAGGGCACCTTGGGGAGTGTTGATCTGCTTCTTTCAGTGGGTCCTGGTCCCTGCTCTCTGCAAAATGAGCAAGGGAAGGCATACGTTTTCTCCTTAAATGCTGACTTTTCATCCCAATCCCTCTGTAAAATGCAATCCACTGCACCTTTAAGGCTAGAAGCAAAGCAAAGGGGAGACATTTTAAAGACATGAGAGCAGTTTTCACAGGTATATTTATTTCTTCTTGTGCCAACAAATCATCACAGATTTTCTGGTTTAAAGCCACACAAATTTTAGTATCTTAAAATTCTAGAAATCAGAAGTCCAAAATGGGTCTCACTGGATTAAAATCAACGTGTCAGCTGGTCTATGTTCCACTTGCAGGCTTGTGTGGGGGACAATCTGCTTCCTGGCCCTTTCCGGTTAGTGGAAGCTGCCCACACTCCTTGGCTCATGGCCCCTTTCATCTTTAAAGCCAGCAGTGTCCGGCTGAGTCACATCACATCACTCTGACACTGACTCTTCTGTGTCTTCCATCTTTTAAGGACCTTCGTGATTATATTGGGCCCACCTGGATGATAAGAATAATCTTTATTTTAAGGTCAACTGATTAGCAACTTTAATTCCATATGCAACCTTAATTCCCCCTTCCCATGTAACAGAACATATTCACAGATTCCATCCCTGGGAGGCCATTACTCTGTCGACTGCAATAGGAATTTAAGAGTTGGAGGTTCTTACAGCTCTCCTCATTCCCTGGCAAATTAGGCTGTTTTCCATGGAAGCACTGTGAGGATAGATTCTCTACATGGGACGTCTCCAGTGCCTGGCACTCTGCTTGGCACAGATGGTCAACACACACAACCCATGAATGCCATACGCACAGATGTACAAACTCACAGATATACTCACAGATGTGTGTGACACAGTATAGACACAGACAAATACATCTATGCACAACACACGGATACACAGACACACACATTTATTCATGTAAGGTGTGACTGAGCATACAGTAATGAGACTGATGCCAGTCTTAGTGCTTTATGTTACATTTCTGTAATTTTAGAATGAACTTCTTTTCCATACTGGTAAATCATCTTTCTATGAGAAGAGCTAAATAAATCATGGTTAATGACAATGTCAATTAAGCTGGGTACACTGTTTTGACTTAAAAACTTAAGTATGTCAGATACTGAGTTTCGGGTTTGGTTTCTATCCTGCTCTGTGGACAATTCCTAAAGAAATGAGTTGTGATGCTTTGGACCATCTGTGGTGAAATTAGCATTGCGGCGTCAGCCTCTACTGCTCTGTGTGATCATACTCACCTGGGTGGACAGTACTGGTACCTGTCATGCCCCATTTAAAATCGTCCAACTCCAGTTCTATTGCATGTTCAGGTCTGAGAAAGTGTGAACAACCTCACACAGGTACAAACTGACAATGTCTCCCCCACCTGCCACTCTCTGGCATGCCATGTACCTCCCACTTCCTATCCTGGGGGACATCCATGGTGATCTCTCCCTGGCACTTACATATATGCAACCTGGAAATCTGGGGGAGTTGATGCCTGTAGGATCTCCATTGACTAGCTAGGGGATGGGAACAATGGATAAATGCTTTTCCCTTTCATCCTCCAGTTGCAGAGTTCTAGGATGTACTTCCTAAGCTTCCTCAAAAGGTCTTGCAGGATTAATCGAGACCCATAGAAATGACTTGCAGAGTTGGCTCAACTCACTAGTGTGTCTTCTATTGGTTTTCTCTCCTGCCCTGTTTCACTCCCCTGTTCCCTGGGATCACTTCCCAAATAAACCACCTGAGCACAAGCATTGGTCTCAGGCTCTGCTTTTGGGGGAACCCAGGTGAAAAGAGTTAGGGTCCCCCTAGAGGGACGCCTGGGTGGCTCAGTGGTTGAGCATCTGCCTTTGGCTCAGGGCGTGATCCTGGATTCCTGGGATCGAGTCCCACATTGGGCTCCTTGCATGGAGCCTGCTTCTCCTCCCTCTGCCTGTGTCTCTGCTTCTCTGTGTCTCTCATGAATAAGTAGATAAAATCTTTTTTAAAAAATTACTCTAGAAGTAGTCCTAGAATTCAGCCCCTCAGAATGGGATATATGGAGGGATTCACTTGCCAGCCAGATGGCAGTGGGATGGAGAGAATCCCTGACCCACCGAAGCATCATAGTTACTTGGGTTGTCTCTTGTGTGGATTGCGATGTGATATATAGGTGGAAGGGGAAGTGGTTATCTGTGGCACCTGTATGGTATGAGGATGAGGTTATAAAGTTTGAATGGATTGCCTTTTGTTAACTGTGTTGGAAGTCTTGGGGGAAAAAAATGCAAAGCTTAGTTTGGCCAACCATAAACTTAAGACATGCACAAAACTGGAAAACATCTTTGGCAGTATTTAAGGAGATGCTTAGTTCTTCCAGTCCCAAACACTGTGCTGAGAATCAGGCCCAGAATCTAACTGCAAAAGTGGAAGACTCATTAAAGAGAATGAATGTTTCCCTTACATTTTTTTTTTCCATATCAAAGTCAGTGTGCTAAAGGGAAAAAGGTAAGACCATGAGACTTGAAATGGGGCCATTTGGGTAAACAAGACTCTTGAAACCCTAGAATCCCTTGAACCCTCTGGACTGGCAAAAGCAGCCCTCTGCCCCATACTAGAGGGGAGCAGCTTCCCTGTGCTTGGAGACCCTACAAAGATTGCACTCGAAGCAGGTACCCTGCAGCGTGATGTTCATCCTTAAGATCCACCTCTGCCACACTCATGACCGCCAGGCAGATAGACAGGATCACATGTCAGGACAGTTTGAGTAGGAGAAATACAGTCGTTCCATAAGAAAATCACTTATTCGTTGAGGGAACTGGAGGACCTGGCTGATATGGATTCACAAACACCAGGGGAGACAAATGGGAGTGATTGTGCCTTAGGGTATTGGACCAAGAGGGCCTGGATATCAGTCTGCGAAGGAGAGACCCGTACATGGGAGCACCCACCTATGACTCTGGGTTCAAAGCCATGGCATTGACACCGGGAATATACCTTAGCACGTTGTCAGTATTGCTTCTTGAAGCTTACTCATGGCATGAACCCACAGTAAGTAAAGTGGAGATACTGAACCGTCCTTGGCAGAGAATTAAGGAAGAGATCAGAAGGTCCAGGGAGGAGGCTATGTTCACATGGGTTTGTTATATGAGACGAGGCCCCATCACCTGACTGTGCTCCTTAGGAGGACCAGAGGAGTGTTCACGATGAGCTACTGGAGAGGGGCCCTAGCATGCTGGAGAAGCTGTGAATGGGCCAGGGTTGACAGGAGGAGAGCTGGGGCTCCCTAGGATCAGTGGGGATTATGGAGTTCCAGAATGGTAGAAGCCAGGAGAAGGCAATTAACTGGCATCATGGACAGC